CTATTTTCAAAGGAAAGAAAAAGAAAGACATAGAAATCATATTGGAAACAAGCCATTCCTATTTCTACATGCTTAGTCTATGTGGCAGAAAAAAAAAAATCATTTCTATTCCCAACCCAGAAATGACCAGTAGTGGAGCTCTTCAAAAACAATGCATTATTTTTAAAAAATCACCTAAGTTAGTCTCACTTAAAGACTTCAGGAAGGAAAACACAGTTAAACTGAAAACTGTTAACTGGTACTTTAAAAAAAAAAAAAAGCCCGGAAATGTTTTTAGGACTGTAAGTCTCTTGGGAGGTACTGACTTGTCCTTTAACACATTTCTAAGACCACCTGCTTTTGCTAAAAAGCAGCAATCCAACACTAGAGCCTTGCAGTCACAAGCAGAATGAATCTGGACCTGGAGGTAACAGCTATGAACCATATCAACCAGACAGCGAGCAACAGTCACATGATGGTCATTGGCCAGGGTTCCTAGGCTGTGTAGGTGGGCACTGGGAGAAGCTGAACCAGCAAGCAACAGATGGCATCCTGAAATCCCCCCTACTCCCGCTTCTCCTGCCTCCTTCTTCTCTCTGGGTCAGGCCTCCACTTCACCCATTTATCTACCTGTCATTAAATATACTTGGAATGTACAACTTCCCAGCCCAACCACTTCCACATTTTTTTCCCCAAGGGAGACCTTGAGACCCACACTTTAATATCATTTTTTTGTTTATTTGGGATTTGTGTGTGTGTGTGTCTGTGTGTGTGCCCATACTAGTGCTCAAACTCAAGGCCTGGGTGTTATCTCTAGGCTTTTTCACTCAGGGCTGGTGCTTTAACATTTGAGCCATATTTCTACTGTTGTTTAGGGTTTTTTGTTTTTTGTTTTTTTTTTTGCCAGTCCTGGGGCTTGAACTCAGGGCCTGGGCACTGTACCTGCTCAAGGCTCACATTCTACCACTTGAGCACCATTTCCAGCATCTTCTGGGTAGTTTATTGGAGATAACCGTCTCATGGACTTTTCTGACCAGGCTGGCTCTGAACCATGCTTAGCCTCCTGAGTAGCTAGGATTTTATGCATGAACCACTTCTGACTTTTTCCTAGTTAGTTGAAGATAAAAGTCTTCAAAGAACAATATTCAGGTCTCTGTCTCCTGAGTGGCTGAGATTATAAACACAAGCCACTGATACATGGCTACACCCTTTTTCTTTTTTTTTTTTTTTTTGGGTCCAGTCGTGGGGCCTGAACTCTGGGCCTGGGCGCTGTCCCTCAGCTCTTCAGCTCAAGGCTAGCGCTCTACCACTTGAGCCACAGCACCGCTTCCGGTTTTTTCTTTCTTGCTTATGTGGTGCTAAGGAATCGAACCCAGGGCCTCATGCATGCAAGGCAAGCGCTCTACCACTGAGCCACCTTCCCAGCCCGTACTTATTTTTTTTTAATTCAAGGACAGAACTCCAGAAAAACTCAACTAGTATGGAGAAGAATTAGATCTACTTTATTTATATTTAATTATTGTCGGTTGTAGGGCTTGAACTTAGGGCCTGGGCAGTTGTCCCTGAGCTCTTTTGCTCAAGGCTAGAGCTCTACCACTGAGCCATAGTTTTACTTCCAGTTTTTGAGTGGTTAACTGGAGCTGAGTCTCATGGGGACTTTTCTGCCCTGACTGGCTTCGAACTGCGATCTTCAGATCTCAGCTTCCTGAGTAGCTCGATTATAGGAGTGAGTCACGGGCACCTGGCTATATATTTTATTATAATTACAATATATTAGTTGATTTTTTGGATGTAATGCAACATATGTGTGAATAAATTATCCAAACAACTTTAACCTAGTTCTCTCCCTCTCCTAGATTTTTAAAAATCAGACTTTCCTAAGAGGGCTAGTAGACATAATCCTAGTCTACACAAAAGCTTATACATGAAAATGTTCAAAACAGCATTATTTATAACAGACATGACATGGAAACAATGGAAACGTCCACCAAACAGTGAGTGATTAAAAAAAATAAATATTCACAATGGACTATTACTTGATCATAAAAAGAATGTCATATTGATACATGCTACAACATGAACAAAAACCTGGTGGTGAGTTGAGTCAGCCACAAAAGAGTACATGTTGGATGATTCTAGCTATATGACATCTAGAATAGGCAAATATGAAGAGATAGAAGGTAGATTTGTAGTTGCCTAGGGCTAGAAAGATGGGAGAGGTGATAACTTAGGAGTACGGAAATTCTGAGAGAATGATAACATTCTAAAACTGGCTCTGGTGACAGTTGTGCAACTCTGTGAAGACACTAAAAACTATTGAGTTATACATTTTCGATCAGTGAATTGTACAATATCTAATTTTTATTTCAGTAAAACTGATTTTTTTCAAAGGTTCAGGGGTTGCAATTGTGTTTCGCATTAATTTTACTTTTTTTTCAGGTCAGTGTAAGAACAAATGTGATTGATTCATCCTTGTTATGATGTATACTGCTGTGGAATGGAACCCAGGGCCCTGCACATGCTCGCTTTCACTGAGCCACATCCCTAGCCTCAGTATTAGTTCTTTACCAGGTTACTTACTGTGCTTGGGCATAAATCCATTGCCACAAGCAAAAGAAACAAATGAACAATTCAGAGCTATAGAAAAAGGAACTTGATTTTTAAATGAAATACTTTTTTTTTTTTGTACTGGAAGTTTGAACTCAAGGGCCTACCACTTGATAGGCAAGCAGTCTACTTGTTGCCCTGAAGTCTTGTTTTGTTGGTCATGGGATTTGAACTCTGGGCCTGGGTGCTGTCCCTGAACTCTTCAGCTCAAGGAGAGTGCTCTACCACTGGAGCCACAGCACCACTTCCAGTTTTCTGGTGGTTAATTGGAGATAAAAGAGGCTCATGGATGTTCCTGTCCGGCTGGCTTTGAACCGTGATCTTCACATCTCAGCCTCCTGAGTAGGTAGAATTACAGGCATGAGCTACTGGCACCCAGCCAGCACTGAAATATTTTAAATACTAGTTATTTGAGACAAAAAATAAAGCCAAACTTGATTTTCAAAACTACCCCCTTCTAAAGAAATGTACATATCACCCGATGTGAAGAAATAGTTGTATTGTCAAAGCTCATAGAATTCACAAACATAGATCATGATAATGACAATTTGCCTTGTGAAGATTAAAACTGTGTTTGTGACTTTAAGTATCACTATCCCACAATACTGTGGAATTTGTGACATTTATGTCATCATTTAATAAAAAATTATTTTAAAAAAAAACAACAAAACTACCACCTTATGCTGGGTGCTATTCAGGAGGCTGAGAACTGAAGGACTGAAAAGTCTATGATATTCCATCTCTAATTAGCAAACTGTAGAATACAGTTATAGCCCAAGTGGTAAAATACCAGACATAACAATTAAACAACAGCATGAGGCCTTCATTTGGAGTCCTGATACTAGCACAAAAATGAATTTAAAGATGCCCCACTACAGATAAATGGATCCAAAAAATATAATACAATGGAATTTTACACAGCCATCAGAAAGCATAAAATAATGGCTGTAGGGAAATAGAAGGAACTAGAACAAGATCAGAGAGACAAACAGTGCATGCTCTCCTTGATATGCAGATGTTGGATTTAAAATGCAACAAGATATGACAAAATCAACATGACTCAAGATACCCAAACACAATGAGACCAAGAGGACAGTCTTAGGAGAAAAGCACCAAACTGTAATACCCAAGCACCTCTTCATATGTATATAAAATAATGTACAGACTGAAAAGAACTCCAAAGATAAAGAAACAAAGGAACTCTTCTTAATTTGTCTTATCATTTTTTAGACAACTCTGTATTCTTTACCTCATACATGGCATATACACATGTACATCTGAAGGAAGGTGGAAAGTAAGTGGAAAGTGGGTGAAAAAGTAGAGCACAGGGGCCCATCAGCTACACTGGACATTGATGAAAGTGAACTAAGCAACTCAAGGGCAGTGATGGGAGGGAGAGAATGAGCCAGAATAAGGGAACAGCTGATACTAGGCAGAAGGAAAACAATGTACATATCACCCAATAGATGTAAAGGTAACCCTGCTGTATACACCTCTAAAACAACAATAAAAATATTAAAAAAAATAAAAACACCAAGAAAGCTAAAAAAAAAATGAGTTGGAGACATGGCTCAAATCACCAGCCAATGAGTAGAAGCAAGTGTCAGATAGTGAGTTCAAGTCCAGTCTTAGACAAAAAAAAAAAAGAATGAATATCACCTTCTGTTGGGTGAAATAATGATCTAACATTCCAGTTGAGAATTTCCATGATTCCATATAGTGAGTCTGAAATACAGTGTGGGAAAAGCTGGCTTGGCTGATGTGAGTGAGAGACAAGGGATCAAGTCCCCTGGAAAGAGGGACTCACTGAAGGAAGATGTCAGCTTGCTAAGTGGGGTCCTATAGGACTGCAGCTAAATGAGGGTCATCACCCAACTAAGAAGACACTGAAATCGAGGGGAGGTCTGTGCTAGATCCTTTTAAGTAGAACAGCAATCAGAAGTATACTAGCTCTTGGCATAAAGACCATTATTCCCAAATAAGAAACTTAGAAGCCTGGGATGTGATGGCCAGGCTGGCCTTCTGGCAATTATGTGGATAGGATAGCCCATCCTGTGAACAACTGGGATGAAGGCCCACAGGGTCTCAGCACAGAGCACCGTACACCTCACACTTCCAGCCCACTCCTCAGTGTGTGTCACCTTTCTCTAAAAGGCCAGAAGTGCCCATGAGAAGGGATGCTGCCCCTTACAACACAGAGGATGCTGGGAATAAGCCTGGAACCACTACTCTGATTTTCAGTTTTGGCACGCAAACTGATTATCAACAAACAACCTCATAATTGAACACACATGATTTACATCAACTCCTATAATAAAACAAAAACAAAACAAGCAACCGAAACAAAAAACCACAATGTACAACAAATCCTGGAGAATAAAGAAGAGAAAAACTCTAGTGAAGCTCACACTCACTTCCTGGCTGGCAATCAAGCAGGTCTGCAGGAGAAAGGAGTCCATTTTCTTGTTTTTCTGTTGTCCAGCCTCAGGACAGCACAGGGAGGCCCAGGGCGTGCTGCCATCTGCAGGCAAAACAGAAGAAAACATAAGCAAGGGCCCAAACCACCCAGCTGAAGCTCCAGCCCACCTTCAGGCAGCCAAAGACCCGTGTTCCCCCCCCCCCCCCCCCCCCCCCCCCGCAGTAGGATCTAGGTATGTTCCGTAGTTCCAAAGCCTGCCCAGCTACCTAATACCCCAGGCAGCCAACAAAAACTATAAACTACCAGGAACTGAGGATTTCACTTTTTTTTTTTTTTTGGTCAGTCATGGGGCTTGAACTCTGGGCCTGGGCGCTGTCCCTCAGCTCTTCAGCTCAAGACTAGCGCTCTACCACTTGAGCCACAGCGCCACTTCCGGCTTTTTTCTGTTTATGTGGTACTGAGGCATCAAACCCAGGGCTTCAAGCATGTAAGGCAAGCACTCTACCACTGAGCCACCTTCCCGGCCCTGATGATCTCTTAATAGCAGCAAACTCACCAAGGGGTTTGCTGTCAAGATACTGCTCTACATTATTTACTTTTATAGAGTTCTCACAATACGTGAATGTTTTTAAGAAGGTCCTGTTTGATCAGATAGAATAAATGAAAAACTTGATATACCTGATTTCAAAGAGGGATCACAAATAAAAACTGTAGGAGATTCTTAGCATCTGGTAGATCATTTATTCCCCCAAATATTTATAGGGTGCTTGTAATAGACCAGATGCTGCCCTGGGGAACAGAACTGAGCATGTAGGCAAAAGTTCTACTCCCAGGGAGCTCCTACTTTAATGGAGAGAGGTGACAAGAGAAGGTGATAAATACAGGTAGATTCATTTATTTTCAAGTACTCAACTGACCACATGGGCATCCATTAGACATGGTCCTACCCAGGTTGGAATAAAAAAATGGTGGCTCATGCCTGGAATCCTAGCTACTTAGGAGGCTGAGATCTGAGGATCACACTTTCAAGCCAGAGGCAGGAAAAGTCTGTGAGATTCTTATCTTCAATTAATCAGCAAAAAGCCAGAAGTGGAGCTGTGGCTCAAGTGGTCGAGTACCAGGTTTGAGTGAAAAAGGCTCAAAGGCTCAGAGACAGCACACAGATCCTGAGTTCAAGCCCCAAGACCAGTACCAAAAAAAAAACAAAAACAAAAACCGTAGTGAGAACTTTTAAGCTTGTTAGCAGCTAAAATGTCAAAGGCTACCTTCATATGTCAAAGGCTACTCCTCTAAGCCAGTTTCTCGGCTTATACAGGCAGGGCTATTATGTGAAACTTCAGTTGTTAAGGTAATGACCGAAGTTTACACAAACTGATACTGAGCTTGGCTTAAGCAAAGCTAAAGTAAACTCGGTATAACATGAGGAAGTGACTGCAGCACTTGCAAATAGTTCAGTGTCTTTGTGCCAGCAAAGGTCAACCAAGGATGGATTTCCAAGCATGCTTTTGAGAAATAAGCACCAGAGAAGCCTGGCTCAGAAGACAGGATCCACTACAAACTTTCATGGTCGGTTTCTTTGTTATATTCAATTGCTCAAATATATGACAGAGTAGTGAAATTGTTAAGATTACAAAATAGAAAAATGGGGCTGGAATATAGCTCAGTGGCAAAGCGCTTGACTAGCAAGTGCAACATCCTGGGTTCACTCCCCAGTAGGGTTTAGAATAACACCTGAAAGCACCCAGAATACGTGTGTTTTTGCATATGTATACACAAAGACTTGCGTGTGTGTGCGCGCATGTGCATGCGCGTGCACGTGCATGTGCGTGTACCAGTACTGGGGCTTAAACTTGGGGCCTGAGTGCTGTCCCTTAGCCACAGCTCAATTTCCAGCTTTTTGATAGTTTATTAGTGATAAGAGTCACAGACTTTTCTGCCCAGGCTGGCTTCAAACTGCCATCCTCATACCTTAGCCTCCTGAGTAGCTATGATTACAGGTGTGAGCCACTGGTGTGCAGCTTCCAGATTATTATTATTAGTTTTAGTTTTTGGGTAAATCCTGTGTATGTGCCTGTTGGGGAAAGATGGGGAAGAAGAGAAGTAAAAATATGTGAAAAGGTTTCTTTTTCTTTCTTTATTTTTGGTCGGTTGTGGGACTTGAACTCTGGGCCTGGGCACTGTCCTTGTACTCTTCAGCTCAAGGCTAGAGCTCTATCACTTGAACCACAGCGCCACTTCCGGTTTTCTGAGTGATTTATTGGAGTTAAGAGTCTCACAGACTTTTCCTGCTGGGGCTGGCTTTGAACCATGATCCTCAGATCTCAGCCTCCTGAGTAGCTAGGATTACAGGCGTGAGCCATTGGTGCCGGGTTCTCTAAGGCTCAAGTGGTAGAGCACTCGCCTTGAGCTGAACAGCTGAGGGACAGCGCCCAGGCCCAGAGTTCAAGCCCCAAGACTGCCCCCCCCAAAAAAAGACAAAAACCATATATACTAGTGACCAAACTAAATACAAAATGGCCTGGGAGTGTGGCTCACTGGTATAGCTCCTGTCTGGCAAACATAAGTGCTGAGTTTAATTCCTAGTGCTGAAAAAATGAAGAATTAAATTCAACTACTAAAAGATCAAGACTTTCACACCTGTGATCCTAGCTATTCAGAAGGTTGAGAAACAAAGATTATTGTTTGAAAAAACCAGCTGGAGCAGAAAAGTCTGAGAGAGGGCTGGGAAGGTGGCTCAGTGGTAGAGCGCTTGCCTTGTATGCCTGAGGCCCTGGGTTTGATTCCTCAGCACCACATAAACAAAAAGAAAAAAGCCGGAGGTGGCACTTTGGCTCAAGTGGTAGAGCGCTAACCTTGAGCTGAAGAGCTGAGGGACAGCGCCCAGGCCCAGAGTTCAGGCCCACGACCGGACCCCCCCCCAAAAAAAAAAAAAGAAAGAAAAGAAAAGTCTGAGAGACTCTTATCTCTAACCAGAAAAAAACAATCCAACTGGAAGTGTGGCTCAAGTGATAGAGTGCCAGCCACTAGTGAAAAAGCCAGGCTATAAGACAAGGCTCTGCATTCAAGCCCAATACCAGCACGCACACACACACACACACATGTACACACACATACACACACACACACACAACTAAAACTTTCAACCTAATTCCTATGAGTAGAAAATATTTGTATTTCATTCAATTGAAATTATAGTATTTCACTTTAGTAGATGTGTACATGTGCAAATACCACAACTAGAGGTTAATGACTTGCAAAGTTTGGAATGCTGTAGTAAATGTTTGCAAGAGATAGGAAAGGGTCCAGAAAAGCATGCTAGTATGATATATAATTATGGAAAGCTGGTTTTCAGGAGGCTGAAGTGAGATTTTCAGCTCACTTTACAAATATCTATACTATTTGCTTCTTCAACAAAATGCATGTAACCAAAGAAACAAAGAAATGAGCACTAAGTATTGAAAGCAAAAAAAAGTAATGAAATAAAGGGTGGCTAAAAAAATAAGGGTGGCTAGGGCTGGGAAGGTGGCTCAGTGGTAGAGCACTTGCCTTGCATGCTCGAGGCCCTGGGTTCGATTCCTCAGCACCACATAAGCAAAAAGAAAAAAGCCGGAAGTAGTGCTGTGGCTCAAGTGGTAGAGCGCTAGCTTTGAGCTGAAGAGCTGAGGGACAGTGCCCAGGCCCAGAGCTCAGGCCCCATGACCGGACCCCAAAAAAAAAAATAAGGGTGGCTAAAAAAACAAAAACAAAACAAAGATTTACTTTAAAATAGATAAAAACTCTAAGGAGAGGGGCTGGGAAAGTGGCTCAGTGGTAGAGCGCTTGCCTTGCATGCCTGAGGCCCTGGGTTCCATTCCTCAGCACCACATAAGCAAAAAGGAAAAAAAAAGCCGGAAGTGGCGCTGTGGCTCAAGTGGTAGAGTGCTAGCCTTGAGCTGAATTGCTGAGGGACAGCGCCCAGGCCCAGGGTTCAGGCTCCATGACCGGACACCCCCCCAAAAAAAAAACAAAAAAGAAAAATCTGAACAATCATTAAAGAAATTAAAAAAAAAATTAAGGCAGAGTTCACTACGTAACCTAGGCTGGCTTGAACTCAGTATTTTCCAGCCTCTGTCTCCCACATGCTGGGATTACAAGGAGCACCATCATGCCTGATTTCAGAAATTAAAATAATTTTAAACTCTCTTCCTCATAAAGGCTCAGGCCAAGGAGGTTTTACAAGTGCATTCTTCTAACTTCCAAGGGACAGATCATTTGTGTCTTAAATGAGTTGCTGAAAATAGAAACCTTAGGAAACACTTCCTAACTCTAGGTTACTATAAGTTGGCAGGAGGAGAGATCACATGAGCATCGAGCCAGTACTGAATGAACATTTGAGAGTTGCATACTGACTCATGATTAAAACCCCAAAGCAAAACCAAAACTCTTAGAAAAGCAGAATCCAACCCATCCTTCCTTCCCTGTTTTGTAGCATGATTATTATCTGCTTTCGCCACTATATATGATATATTTTACTAAATTTTTTATTTGAAAGTAGCACTTGGGATTTTTTTTTTCATCTCCTTGGATCTCAAGTCCCAAGAAAAGACAGGAACTTTTTTTCTTTCTTTCTTTTTTGGTACCAGTCCTGGGGCTTGAACTCAGGTACCACTGTCCCTGAGCTTTGTTGTTCAAGGCTAGCACTCGAGCAACATCTCTACTTCCAGCCTTTTTTTTATGTCTGTCATGGGGCTTGAACCCAGGGCCTGGTCACTGTCCCGGAGCTCTTTGTGGTGAAGACTGGCACTCTATCACTTTGAGCCACACTTTCTGTTTTTGTTTATTTATTTTGTCAGTCGTGGGGCCTGAACTCTGTGCCTGGGCGCTGTCCCTCAGCTCTTCAGCTCAAGGCTACCACTCTGCCATTGGACCCACAGCACCACTTCTGGCTTTTTCTGCTTATGAGGAATGGAACCTAGGGCCTCATATATTGGAGGCAAGCACTCTACCACTGAGCCACCTTCCCAGCCCAGACACTTCCCATTTTGGGGTAGTTAATTGGAAGTAAGAAATAAGATTTCCTGCACAGGCTGGCTTTAAGCCGTGATCCTCAGATCTTAGC